TAGGGAAAGCTTTCATTCTTGTGAAAGCATGTGATTCTCTTCATGATATCTTTGCACCGTCATTCACATTATTCATGTACTGCCCACGGCATGAAGTTAAGAGCTTTTAGATTTTGCTACAATATGAAATATATTGACATCTAGTACTTCATACTTTACAAATGCATTGGCTTTAGTTATTCCAGCAGACCTCTTCCATTTAAAACTCATGAGTAATCAATGAAACATTTAAATATACTTCAGCACTACGTTTTTCAAAATACATATATAAATAGAAGACTTTATACAGGAAAATAAGCTTTGACTTTTTATATGTACTTGACTGTCAGATCATTTGGGATTCATTACAGAAAAAGTGATCATGCAGCAAGTTCGATGACACGATTTGCTGAAACAAAATCTGTGCAGGCAACATACAGCTGAGAAAGGGATCCCATGTCGTAGTGGAGTTTGTTGGAAACCGCGTCCTAAGGACTGTGTTTTAGTAAGAACCTGTTAGAACATACTGAGCTGGGATTTTCAAGGTGCCTGAATGAGTTTGATCCTGCAGTCTGGCAGCCAGCTACAGCTGGTTAAAAGCCCGAGGTGGGCCTGCAGCATGCCGCTCCCTGCCCCGCGGCCCTCGGACCCGGGCAGCGTGCTCTCGGGCAGCGCTGTGGCCTGCCCCAGCCAAAAGGCTCCTGCCATCAGGGACAGCACAGCACCTCGTATCGGAAGGGTCACGAGTTCCATTTTGGGAGAAGGAGGGGAAGCGTATTCAAGGTATTCTGCCAATTAATTCTACACGGCCAAAGCCTCGGTAACAGCTGGACCTTTGCAGTATGGACACAATTGACTAGATCTTTGCACTTTTCTCACAAAGCTGGGAAAGACCTGGTCTACGTGGGATATACATTCCTACTGAAAACATTACCTGCTACACGCCTGTGACAAACCTGAGCGATACATGCAGCAGTGCGAATACCAGAAAACAGGATTCAGAATGCAAAGGATTTGACACAGGAGCTGTGCAAGGCAGCAAGGCCTGTTCTAGTTCAGTTAATCTCCTTATTTTGAACTAGCCTACATAATATACTGGGATTTTGGCATAATTCAATCACGTTACAACTTCATTAGCAATAAAAGTGCAGCAGTCCTCTTGGCCACCTTGCAAGGTCTCGTTATCCTTTTTAAGACAGAGCAGTGTGTAGTCAAAGATGAAAAAGCCAATAGAGCAGCACTGCTTACAGGTCAGACTTGGTTTTCAGTCGGTGCAATAGGAATTGCTCGCTATCTGAGCATATGCCCAACGCTTAAGCTTGCAAGAAAAGGAGGTGTTGCCCAGAGAAGATAGTAAGTATTTGAAAACTATCATCTTGTGCAAAAAGCAAAAGAAGGAAGGAGGGGGAGAAAGTCTTAATCACAGAGAATTATGATAACAGTGAGGGACATGTTACATCAGTGAAAGGCAAATGGACATTTTGCTTTTAGAGGAGTGCTACTGCTGAAATGAAATGAAGCGCTCAGTATTTCAAAGTAGTTTAAACAACAATGTGGTTTGTCGTTAAGATGCAATGTGAAAATTAGTGGCTGTAATATGACATACAGTTCATCTGACCCATAGCTTCTTTCACAGAGCCAGTCTGCAGGAGTACGTAAATTTAACATTATTATACTGCTACGTTTGGTGACGATCTTTGGCGCACCACTGTGACCCCCACCCCGCCCCAGTCATGCCACCAGTGTCTCTGTCCCAGGTCTTTTAAGATCTTCCTTATACAGCTTGTGCAACTCCTCGTGCGCATTGCTTCAGATGCTGATGTACGCATCCCTTGAAACGATCCAGAATATTCCAGTTGAAACTTCTGCCATATCAAGTACTTTCATAATACTAACACAGAGAAGAAATAAACTGTGTATAGTACTCAGGGTGAAGTGAAAGAGATCTAGTGCAGCCACTGAGGAATTTGTCCTGCTCCTCTCTCTCGCCCCATATACAGTCCTAAGCAAGCGCTGCTGCTCGTCTGATTTCATGGTATGACATTTTAGCTCACTAACCACTTTTTCCTCCTGAGTTTTCTGGTAGATTAGTAAACTGAATCCCACCACAGGACCAGATGATAGAGCTGGCTTAAGGGAGAGTGGATAGCAGGAGCTGAGCAAGACTTCTGCACTGCACAGAGCAACACAGAAAAGCAAGAAAACAAAAGGCAAGCCACCTTTCGTACCCTTCCTTCCTTCCTTCTCACACGCCACACCATCACCACTGTCCCCCACACTTTGTACTGTAACATTTTTCATCTTGCTTCAGGCCCATCAGGACCTCAGAGAAACAATACCTGACACTCTGCCAATACCAAATTAAATGTCAACCTGCATGACTTAGGGGGAAATGGTTACTGTGTTAAAAATTGGAAATTTGTAGGTTTAATTTGACAGAAGTGAGTGTGAAATGACAGGTATGTTTAAAGAAGGGTAACAGTGAATCTCATAGAAAAAGGTTTAGTCTTCTGACATAAGCATGTCATGAAGAATAATGAAAAATAATTTTTTGGGGTTGTTCAGCCGGGAGAAGAGAAGGCTTTGGGGAGACCTTATTGCGGCCTATCAGTACTTAAAGGGGGCTTATAAGAAAGATGGCGGCAAACTTTTTAGCAGGGCCTGTTGTGACAGGACAAGGGGGAATGGTTTTAAACTAAAAGAGGGTAGATTTAGACTAGATATAAGGAAGAAATTTTTTACAATGAGGGTGGTTGCCGCCCCATCCCAGGGAACATTCAAGGTCAGGTTGGACAGGACTCTCAGCAACCTGATCGAGTTGAAGATGTCCCTGCCACGGACCTTTAAAGGTCCCTTCCAATCCAAACTATTCTATGATTTTTATTTCTTTTAAAATACAAATTTGTTTTTGTACTAGAAATTCACTATCTACCTGATTGGCGAAAACAGCTCTCTCTCCTTGGTTAAAGGACTCCAGAGAGTCCAAGATCACAGACAAGGAGGAGGGCTGTCCGGCACTGTCACCTTCACTGTGGGGTAGAGGCTTCAGGGAAGGAGCCCAGCCCCATGGGTCAAGTGGGAACAGAGAGGAACATACTGCACAGCTCCCTGAAGTCCCACTGATTTCCACCCTAAAGATCCAATGGTTTTGTTAAATAAAAAAGTATCAGTGTTGCAATACATTCAAATGTCATTGTCACTGCTGTCTGTAGTGTCTCCTTCTACAGAGCACAGTGTTTGTTAAAATATAATTGACTAATACAGTGATGTTTACTTCACAGTGGTGGATGGTTAAAGGTGTTTCATCACTGCAGTCCTTTATGTTCACACCACTGTATGTCTCTGGTCTTAGTGGAGTCACCTCAGAACAAAGCCAAGGAACAGAGCAATGAAATATGGCCATGAGATTTAGCACCGAGTCGACTGGTTGGTCCTTAAGTGACTAAATGGGGACAGCAAGCTGTAATTGTTTTTCTGACTTCTGTAAGTATAAGTCTTTCTGCACAAATATTCAATATAAAAAATTCCCGATTTTGCTGCCTTAGAAACTGAGATAACTAATTCAGAAGGCAAATTTTCAATAAAGAAACAGTGAATGACTTTAATCCCTTACAAATACCACAAATCCACTTGAGAAAGTAATCTTTAAAAAGTCCCTTTGATATTTAAAACCCTCCACTGGCACGGATTGCCTTTTAAACTGCTAAATGATCTTCGCAATTTGAAATCATGGCTGATGGACCGCTTGGTGCAGACAGCAGTAAGATATGCTAAAACAGTCAATTGAACAAAAGGTTAGAGCGCAGAACACATCATATACCAGTGTGTCACAAAGGGATTTACTTGATGGGAACACAAACCAGCTTTATGTATAGATTTATGGCTTATTAAAGTAGCCTCTTTTATGACAGTGAAATATTCTGTTACCAAAGTATGGCATAAAGTGACAAACTGCTTAAGATATGTCTGAAAATCTAATGCATAGAAGAAATAATCACAGTTCTTTTTTGTTACCCCATGAGATAAGTCGTTATATGCACTGTACCTGAATTTAAGACAAAAACAAACAAACAAAAAAAGATAGTCAGGGAAAATTAGGTATTTTCGAAACTCAAACAGCAGAGCCAGATTTTTTTCCCCCACTCAATGCAGCCACAAGACATCTGCTCACAATAACTATAAAAAACATTAATATACCTGTACTCAGGGTTATAAACTGAAATTTATTGTGCAAATCATACAATAGCCTGCAACCATTCTGAACAATGTAAACCTCTCTCCTGTGGGTAAAATACTGATAGAAATTGCTGCTGTAGCAATATGGTAGGGCTTTAAGTCATTATTTTACCGACAGGAATGATCACGGGACCATGATTGAGAATTGTTAAGTATGATTTGACAACACATTCCAATTTAAAACCAACACAGCAGTTTCTACACTGCAACCTACCCTCTTCTGAGTGCTGTTGGATTTTCTGAGTAACTTAAATGCAGTTGGTCTGTGCTTCACAAATCAAACGTTCAAAAAGTAGAAGTTAATGTCTCTGTAACAGCAAACATAATGCAGAGGAGAAATAATTAACTGTCCTTTGAGTGAAGAAATTAACTAAAGCTGTGAGGGTTTGTTATGTGTTTGTAAAGACCCTTTGATTCCTGCATCAAAAGCACAATGAAGTCATTATTCATGAAGTATTGCCAAGTTAGTATGAAGGACTTATGTGAACAATGAAAAAAGCAATGCACATTCAAATACTCAAATTATTTCCTAATTACACCTGTATTTACACCTTGGACCCAAATTTATCTGAAAATTAGAATAATGGCTCCAGTGACTTTAAAGTCTGTTCGGAGTGAAATTATACAGTATCCAACTTTTACTAAATAAAAGGCCAACTCTTAGCTGTAAGTTTCCTCTTACGCACTGAAAAAATGCACTGAAAGAGCAGTTTCGCTGTGGAATAGTCACCACATACATCCCTAGCCTTTGTAAATTAGCTAATTAGAGTGTTCATGAAATGAAAAAAAAAAAACTTTAGGTCCACAGAACAGAGCAATGGCTTGCTCAGCTCTGAGCGTCAACGTATTAGTGGCAACGTTTACATTTGAAACCCTGTTGTGCACATATATGTATTACACAAATATGCAACTCTCTGTTTACAGTTTGACAACTCCAATAATATGCACTCCAACTGTAAAAAAAATTACCTGGCAAGAAATGACCCTCATTGTGGGGCATTAACTATAACTAGAAACAATCAGCTCCCTTTCTACTTGACAACTGGTGGAGAAAGAAAAAAATGTCTGTATTAACACTGCCATGAATGCTGACTCACTTTTCTTTTAAATCATAATAAATGTAGACTCCTTCCAAGGCATAATGTGGAAGTAACTGATGCTTATTAATTCTTAGGAGAGGTAGAAAGCAAGCTTGTATTTCTTCTCAACAGTGCCAGAAGCATAGACTCAGTGTGAGAAGCAGCTGAGATACAGACAGCTCTGACTATTGGTGGTCATATTGTCAGCCTGCAGCGAGGTACAACAGGAGAGAATAGCTCTGGGTGAGATCAAAACCACAGTAAGATTCAACAGGAGATTCAGACATCCAGCTGAGAACCGGCTTTCTGCAAAACTCAGAATAAATTATAAGCTGAGAGGAGGCTGTTCTAGTGGTAACTTCCCTTTGTGTGTTTTTTTCAATTCTAGTTTCCTAGTATCAGTACTAAAACACAAGTACTGAGAGTACATAACAAAAAAAAATTTTATATGTAAATTCATACATAGAAAATTATGAATAAACTATGGCGCAAAAGTAGTAATAATATTTCAGTGTATTAATATATATAGGACTTCAAAGTATGTTATTTTTATTTTGGTAGCATTTTGATCTTTTGCTTCTCTAAACAGACTAGTAAATTTGTCTCTCTTGTCCCACAGAGCAGACTGATAAACTTAAAGCTGACAGCTAAAGTTTCCAGCACAAGTGACTTTTCTTGGCTTAATCAAGGTACTGACATCAAGGCACTGTTATATTCTATAAATTTTCTTGCAAACTATAGGCAGAACTGTGTAAGCTAAGAAAAAGGACATATTCTAAGAAAAAGGACACATTATAGTCTGTCTGAGCTAAAGGTTTATTTAATTTGGAGCGTCAGTGTTATTTTTATACCCCCCTTTTCACAGGAAGTGCAAGTCCTGAAAGCACAACAGAAGTAAATCAGTGTAAAACAACCAGTAAAAGTTTAAAAAAAAAAAAAAAAAAAAGCATAGCACAGGAGAGCTCTGAATGGGTAAAAAATAATAATGGATTTTTAAAAAATGTCTGTTGGTTCTCCCTTAAGAAGAGCTGTCCAAATGCCTAATAAGAAGCAGTTTAGGATTGGACATTTAGGAGTCTAGAAATCCTTCAAAGCATTAAACTATGAACATAGATTTTTCTCTTACTTAGACCTGGAATCACTCCCCTTCACAAGTCAATAAAGAGAACTTATTCCAGGGAAAAATTCAAATCATCGGTAGGCAAAAATCAGCATTTTAAGATGTTTATCTTTCTTCAGTCTTGATAACAGAAATAGAACAAAACTCACAGACTTCGGCAACTCATTTATGTCGTGAGGTATCTGGGGCCTTACTCTAAGAAGTATAAAAGGATTTAATGAAAAAGAAATGTATTTTTCTCAAAGTACCATGGCAACAGATGTAACATGTTTAAAACTTAATTACAGTGTGAGGCCTACAAAGAGCAATCCAACGTTTAGTAGTCAGTTATTAGTAAGCCCTGTCAGAGCCATCACCTCTGATGCTTGTTTCCTCCTGATCCTCTGGAAGCTTACAGCAAGGGGGCTAATAAGATTGTGCCTAAACACAGAAGAATGAAAATACATAAAGAATTCTCTCTAAAAAGAAAACAGAAAGCAGGAGTAAGCCTTTAGATTTCAGACTGGCACTCAAGAACAATATGAGAGCATCAAGAGCAGCCTCTGAAGAACCTTTTTTCTTTGACAAACCATACCATAATTACGTGCAACTTACTCATCTCTGACGGGAAGAGTGATGCATATTGTGTTCGGGAACATCTCTAATCACTGCCAAAGAAGCTTCACATATTCATACTGCAGCAGCCCTTTGCCTTAGCAAAGCTCACCATTATAAAAACTGCACACCTACTGGCTAGTTACAAATCAGTTTTTCTTTCTTTATATAAAACAAGGCAACGTGTGCTAATGTAGACAAGTTTTCTAAGAATTTTGAGCCATGTTCAAAATGATAAATCTTAGGAATATCGAAAAGTCTAACAGATAGGTTGTCAGCAATCATGCCTAAGTCCTAAATTTTGTGGTATATCAGTTCAAGTGTAAGCAGAATTGGATCAAAGAATACATAAACGTGCTGATAATGGGGAAATGCAGAAAAGGTAAAATTCGTGAGATTCTATTGTGACAGAAAGCTTGTAGCTATTCCTTCTAGTAAACCAATCTGGTCTTGATAATCCAAAAAAATAAAAAGGAATAAAATGAAGTATAACTTCATAGTTATACTTAACTAATGTAACTATTTAAGGTGTATTCTAGAAATAGTCCAAGTAAAAAGCGGCCGATACCTTATTCTTTCAGAAGTTTCATAATGCTTTTTCTGTTGTTGCCTTGACTTCTATTGTTTCCTGACTAAAAAAGCAATTCATAATTGTAATTTTAAAAACAATTTTAATTTCAATTGTTGAAAAATAGTTGTTACTAATTTCATGGCTCCATGTAAGTATTTTGTAGCAACTTTAAATATTAGCTGCTACCAGAAGAACCAGGAAGTCATGTGCAAAAGGTATATCTTGTTATAGCATTACTCTGCATAAAATGAAAGTTGACAATGAATTTGGGTGAAACTCTACTTTCTTAACACATATAAATACAGCAGAAAATATAATAAAATGGACAATAAGACACAAGATATACTTACCATTTGTATTTCTTCAGGTGACAGCTCATCTTCACCTTTGCTGTCCCCCCATAATCCAAGATTACTTTGGGCATCAGGCAGATTCCTGCCTGTAAAAGAACCACCAAACACTTGAGACAATGCAGGACACTGAATAGTGAAGTGAAAAATCATTTTTCATCCATTTCAGAACCTTGATGAAATTGTTTTATGTGTCATTAACTGAGATTCACCCATATTTACAGCACAAAATTGCACCAGTAACATTTAACTTCTAAACATATGCATAATAGTCTATGCATATGTTTAATTTTGTGAACTACGAGAAGTTGCACTAATATATTGACAGTGAAGGATGTAAAACAACTCACAATGCACTAAAACTTGTTAGGGCACAAAATACTGTAGCATTTGTCTTTTAACAGAAGAAAACACAATTTTCAAAATGACAGTCCATATGCAAACTGTTATCTTCCAATGAGACTTGACAGAACCACCAGCTCCTCATTCCAAAAAGTAAAAACAGAATCTCAAAGACATTTTGAGCAAAGTTCACAGGACAAACTCGATTTCTTCACGCTGTTCAAACTGCATATTACAGTACAAATCCTACAGCACACTGTGCAAGGGGTCTTTCTGCGTGTAACAGGAATCAGATCCTATCCCACAACTAACCCTTACACATCATAGCCGCTTCATTGATTTCAATAGTACTTCCCCTTTGATTAAAGCTAATCATCTGCATAAGAGATCTTGAATGGCTACTTCTGGGACATTCCCTTCTGGAAGATTTATTTTTAGGCTTAATTATATACTCCTGATTATAGACGAAGAAATTAGAATGGGAAAGAAAAGAAACTATGCTACAGGAACCTACTGTTTCTGAAGCTGTTCTAGCACCAGTGTTTAAAATCCTAACGATAAGACTGCACTCTTGAGAAGGCCTCTCTTCTCCCCACTGGCTGTGACATTTTTACAAAACCCAAAAGAGATTTGCACCACCCTACAATGGATCAAAGCTGAACCCACTTTGACTTAGATGCAGGTCGCAAATTAAAATACAGAAAGATTTATTTTTTACTTTTTCATAGATTTCAGACTTCCTATTTATCCCAGTCAATTTTTTCAGGCATTTTTAAGTATTTTCATTTGTTTTGTTATAATCTTCTAAACCTGATTTTTTGTAATTGCATAAGCAGCAGTGATGCATCATCAGATACTGACTTCTCCTGGGAAGCCTCTGAGAGGAATAGTCCTATTTATAAACAAATATATGAAAAGGATTATAAGCAGAAATTTTCCCCTTTATCCTTCATTATAATATTTGTGAAAACTCTTGAAAAATAAATATAAGAGTATTGTTGTGTATGTCTCCTTTATAAATGTATATTTTGCTTCCCAACAACCAAACCAGGATGTACAAACAATGACAATGTTACAAATGAGGGATGTGGATTAGGAATACAGTAAATTAAAAAAAACACAAAACAAAACAAAAACAAGAACGGATCTGTTCTTTCTTACAAGAAATAAAAACAAGAATATCTTTAAAGATTGTTTAGAAAGGATTCAACTCTATGTTTTCCATGGGGTATCATCAGTATTTCAAGTCTATTTCACAGAAACACAAAACTTACTTGTTTAGGTAATCAATGTATTTACATTATATCAAAATTATAATGAATTATTTACTGGATTCAAAGAAAAGAAGATAATTAGTTTATGGAGCCAAAAACCAAGATATATTCCTATTTTATCCCAGAGGAACCAATTACTTTCAGGCACTGTCAGCACTGTTAAAAAAACAGCACCCATATCCAATGTCATTGCTAATAAGCAAATATACTTATGGTAAGAGGTTAAGTGAGAAACACGTATCTCCCCAGGGTTCCTCCAGTCACTGTGGTACGTTTCTGGCTACTGGGAAAGCTGTTCTGCAGCTTTCATGGAGCTGACATTAATGCTTTTCTACAATTCATCCAGCAAAAGCCAAACTACGTTTCTTTTGCAGAAAGAGAAGTAGGTAACGCACAACAGAGACACAAAGTAATGATCAAATCCTCTGAACCCTTTTCTGTGCTGAAAGGAGACAGCTGCTAAGCTTGTGGACTGTTCAAAAGCTACTCATTATTTATATTTATTTCCATAAACTAAATGTCAAATTTGTAATATGCAAATAAATACTGTCAGCATATAAAAGCAATCTCCAGAGAGACTATTTTCCTACCATGAGGCATGTCCAGTATAATTCTAACATAAACAGGTGCTTTGCCTCAAAACAAAAGTAATCACATTTTGGTTTGGTTTCTGCCAAAAAGCAGACGAAACCCAAGTTGTGCTTCAGCATGCCAAGTAGAACATTCAGCTGTTCATCATAACATTCAATTTAAGGACAAGACCACAAGCTGCTCTCAGAAGAACTATCTCTACAGCTAAGATATTTACGCAAGGGACCCAGGCGCGCTGATGATGGCTAATTCATAAACACAAATGATCACCATGCTCTAAACCACCAACATCCTGAGGATGAAATAGTTTATTTTCTAAACAATAATTCCTCCAATTTCTTAAAAATTTGAAAAGTTACTTGTAAAAAAAAAAAATTATCAAAGGCTACAAGATTTAAACTGGGCTTCTTGTTTCCTAGTCATCTCGTTCATGCTATTCCCGTGCTTCGACAACTACTTACCAGCAAAGTCACAAGGCTGATTTCTGTAAGAAGCAGCAACCAACACTTACACTTACGTGAGGATTCACAGGCTGCGTGCATTTACAAACTGTTTCAGACGGATTTATTTTGATATACAAATTTCACAGTTTTCTCAAAGACTAGTCAGCAATCCCTCATAAGTACTGCATCAGCATCACTTATATGACGGGACCCCCACCGTCTTATAAAAAATTAAAGCATAAACTAATAAAAGTGAAAACTGGAGTAATGAAAATTAACGTGCAAGAAACAAAGCTGCATTTTGTTTATTGCAGTGGTTTGCTGTGTCCAAGACAACCAAAGAACAATGTTTTCCATGGTGTGGCACAGATTTTTGGAGCTAAAAATTATAATGACACTATGCAGTGGGAGTGCACACTTTCAGAGATTGCACACATTCAGTAACAAGGAAAGAGCACAGGGCAACAAAAATGCTACTACGCTGCTGCTTCTCTGCTGGCACTAGCTCACAGCTGCGAAACACAGATAATGTGTTAAGGTGAAACTCATCTATGTGCCTGTGTGCTGCATCACTGAAAAGATACTACAAAAACGTAGTAAGCACTGGAAACGACACATAATCAAAATCTTTACTTCTTACAATAAATTCAGTATTAGGGGAAAAAAAATAAAACAAACCATACTGATAGGGCTGCAGAAGTACAAACTGGTTAGGAAGATAAGCAATGCCGTATCAGAAAATGAAACCATTCGCACACTGTGAGTTAATTCAGTATTAGAGTCTTGATCCAGAAATGGAGTACCCACTTCACATGAATCCACACTTTGTATGGCCCTAAAGTCACCAACCAGAGGAACTGTACTCTTAATAAAAATCACCAAAGAAACAATAACTGATTATCAGGATAATATTGCCATCCAGTGGATTTCTTCTATCTTGATGAAGCATTAATCCTAATGTAATGTCACATTTCATACAGTATCTGTTTCTCTCCAAAAATAATTTTCACGCTGTAAATCACAGGGTGCTTGGACTCCTCTACACAGTACAAGCAGGAGAACTCAAACCAGGCAAAGCAACTCCAGAATCACAGGAACAAGATTTTTATTTAGGTGTGCAATCTGAAATTATCTGCATAGTGGTGGTAGTCCGAAAGGCACTCTGCAATGAAGTTGTGCCAGCGTACACACCCCAAGACAGACCAAAACGGCTAAGAGAAGGGACTTACATCCCCTGTGCTCAGAAGCAGGCCACCAAGGAATCAGAAGCAATGTTCACAAGTCCTGTCAAGAATAGCACCAGCCGAAATGACCCTGGGGTCAGAGATACTGCTTTGGACTTCTGGCTATCTCCTGTCCACCAAAAGATGAGATGCAATCCTGCCAGCAGGGAAACTCAATGCTGTGGAGAACAACATCCCCAGAACTACTGGATCTGGCCAGCCAGTAACCTCCCCTCTATGAGCATATTCCACCTTTGAGTTCCTACTATTGAGGTGTCCAACTCAAGGTCTCTGTGCTTAAAAACTAGAAAATGTTCCCAGAAAGTCATTGAGCTACTTTCCAATTCCTTGCCATCAGTGAAAGGAATGCAGAAAAATCAGACAGATCTCAGAAGATATGTAAGTAGATGCATATTGATAAAAATAAATAAAAAGGAAAGAGTTCACATAGAGTTTATTGAGAGGATGAGGAATCCAGCAAGGCATAAGACTTTTTTAGCTGGTTGGAAAAAGCATGTCAAAAAGTTTAAGATTTTCCTTCCTCAATCTCACAATGTGCTTCACAAAAGCCTGATCAAGTCAGGGAAGATGAAAATAGAAAAAGTGCAAGTCACAGGAACAGGCCCTTGTAATGTGAAGGAAGTATTATTGACCAGACAGGCCTTGCCACAAAAAGTAAAATATAACTACATTTTATTCTTACCTTTGCTTTCCTCAGCAGAAAGTTTTTCTTCAGAATCATCTAAAGGATTCTGTGAAGATTTTTCAGGGGAAAGAGGTGATTTGGAGACATTGCTCTGCTCAGGTTCAAGTCGGGACCTAGAAGCACAAGAGCCTATAATTTAACTGACATCACACAGTTTAATTTCTCTAAAATGAGAACAACCACAGATTATTAAATTCAACACTAACTCTTGCAAATTTTACATTAAAGATTTCCCAGTCAAGATACAAAATGTACTTAGCAACTTTCACTGTAATATTATTACAAAAGCAAAGAAAGCACAAATAGTATTCCTGAACAAAACACATTACATGTTCAGAGTTGAGGGAAATTTTGAAGGCTATAGCATAAACACACAGACATTTTATGAACGTTCCTTTCAAAAATCCAGTGTATTAAAATATATATATTTTTTAAAAAAACAGACAAACAACATTTTGGTCATACTGAAAATTCTTTTTAGTAGCAATAGCCAACACCACTACTTTATTTTTTTTCCAAGTAATAATCACAATTTTACTTTATATTGTCAATTATCATAAAGGAGAAGTAAGAAAATACAACAGAATTAGCTTTTTCCTCAAACAAGTATTTTTATTTAACTATCTTTAAAGAATAGTTTAACCAGGATGAAAGCGATCCTTACCTTGTCTGCCAAAAGACACAATAGACCATTTAGAAGCAAGGAAAAGAAAAAAACGTATGCAGTGGGCAGATATATACTACATCAAAGTCCCTGCTATGTAATTTTAATACAAAGGCAATGCGAAAAATGAGAAGCATATTCAGTGATTATATATATATTAAGTACTTGCCAAGTACATTTCACTGTGGCACCAAAAAAAGTTTAAAATTAGTGGCAACATATTTTTTCCAGTAAACTTCTGTGATTTATTGTTGTCTACAATGACTTCTGTAACTGCTATGTAGTAGACAATTAAATGCTTAGCAATTACGCTGTTAGAGAAGCTAAAGAACAAAAAACCAAAAAGCAATGGACTGAATCACCTGCTGCGCCACCTTCATCACTTCCTCCCCTCTCAAATATAATCAACAGTTAATCTCATTATGATCTGCAATCTTGCCCTGCTGCTTAACAAAAGGTGTTGCATTTTGTGTTCCTTTCCTTCTTTGTATTGTGTCTAAATTCTAACCCATAATTAGAAAATTCTGAGAAAAACAAAATATAATGCATTAGTCATCACTGAATGACTATATTATTTAAAGAAAAAAACCCAAACAGTAACAGAGAACCTTTCTTAGTTCTAAAAACTCTGCAAGTACTGGGCTTTTGGTAATCTTACAAAAAAGAACTCCTCTCATCTCCTCCTTCTCAAGTCCCAAATTTGCCTAATAATGAGGAAGAAAACCTTATCCGGATGCCCATGCAGTTCAAATAATAGTTCTGATACTAATAAAACACCAATTCCCCAGAAAATAAAAATTATCAGCTTGATTTGAATAATTGCATACAAAATTCATAAGATATTCTAATGGAAAAAGAAGTTTAAAATTGAAATGAAATATAATTTTGAATACCAATAAATATAAAAACGGAAAACCACAACCAAGTACCTTTACAGAAAAAGCTGATTGTGTTTCTATTTTTCGACTTTTCATTCTGAGGAACTAGTCCTACGTAATTGGCAGAACTTTTTAATCAAAAATATGAGTTAATACATAAAGGCAAATTATTTAAGAAAATTATAACACCCAGGCAATTTGTTGAAGAGCCTAGGATGTTTATCAATATAAAAGGAAACATGATGAAAGGTTTTCTACTGCAAACCTTCCAGTATTGTCTGATACACACATTTTTTAAGTTGACTAAATTGCAGGAAAGAAGATCTGCACTAAGATTAATTTACTTTTAAAGAAATGTATTCCTTTATTGTTTGTTGTCCTTACTTTGCACAGTTATGTGCATGCTTCATACATGCTAATGTATAAAGCTTTCAATTAAAAATGAAGAAAATGCCTGGGATGCACATATTTAAAGAATGCCTAGTTCTTTTAAGTGATGGAACATGTTCTTATTATCACGTAAAGCCTCTGCTGAAATCCTTGGGGAAATTACGAATCAACTAGTCGAAGGCATATGAAAAAAGACAATTTTTCTTCAAGTCATCATAAAGATTGGTTTATGCCCTGTGATTTATTTAAATTGAATTTTAATATAAATGACAATTTAGCCTTACATCACATCTGCAATGCATACAGACTCCACCTGGTCAACATCTGTTTTCTAGTTCTTACATCTGTAAAAAGAGGCAAAGAGGTACCCTCCAGTATTACATAAAAGGACTGCATCTTCTGGGTTATATTGTAATGCCTTATTGCTCTTTATTTAAGTGGTATTCTAACTTCTGAAATAGCTCTTTCATTGTTCCATGTTTCGAGTACATCAAATTGAGTGGTTTTCTCTGTTTAATCATATGAGAAATCTTGAACCTGGGATTTCACATGGAAACAATAATATAAGAGTACATCAAACAGAAGAGCTGGTATTTGATAGCCAATTCTGTAACTGCAGGAACCATGCTAACTTTCTTTGAAGTTCTTCAGTGTGAAGAATACTGATAAGGTTATGCATTTTTACACACAAAAATATTACACAGTTTGTTTCTGTATCTTTTTTCTGAAAAGTTATGGGAGTTACAAAAATACCAATGCCTTACTTTTCTCTCATTACTTCTTACCAAATTTCAGAACTGGTTTGGGGTATTTTGTTTACTTGGTTTTGGCTCGTACTACTATTTATGTCTCAGGAGGATATATTTGAGTGAATCTAATTGTGCTTAATAATGCTGAATCACTCTGAATAAAAGATACTTACACACTTTTGAAAACATCTCTCTAGTTTCAATGTAAATAGCTGATCAAGCCAAACACCAAACTGATAAAGCAGCATCAAGTCTTGGAAAAACACTCAAGATTTTATTTATTGATGTATATGTTCTAGAATTTGTTATTTTTAAATTAAAATGTACATAATGGAACTTAAGGTTAGAATTCAAATAATGCAGATCGGGAAGACATGGAAAGCCTTTCAGGTATTAAATAAATTGCAAACCTGTTCATTCTCCCTGTCATTCTTACGCCTGGGAGTGTGCAGAAAAAGAAACTGAAAAAGTATGGGTTTTGATACTTGACTGAAAAAAAAAAAAACCCCAACCCAAAAAACCACCAGACCAAAAAGCCAGCCAGCACATCATCTTTAAGTTCTTCTAGACATTTTCACCTCTACATCAGCAGCCTGAACATATGCCACGATAGGAAGCAGAAACTCTTTTGTTTCAGTTAAGAAGTTACATTCAAGATTTTTATTTTAATCAAGTCTCTACTTGCCATGAAGACCTGCCATCTCAAGTAGCATTTATTCACAACATAATCATTTGCTTTAGCAGAAAGATAGTGGCTTAAAAAAAGAAAAAAAAAAAGAGACAAAAAGAAAGAGAACGGAAGAGAGAAGCGAACACCTCTTGTACCTAAACAGACAGTATCCTAAATAGCATTTTTGAGACATGTTACCAATGTGCAGGATTTCATTTTAAATTATTTTTGGGCAGAATATTACTTAATGGGGCACACAAAAATATTTTGTGGCATTTGTATAAGTCCAATAGGTTTATTAACCCACATTTTACTGATTTGGTGCTTTAATTATTTACATAAATGAGAAGTACAACACTATATTGGCACGCTGCCATTTTCAGACAACTTCACATGCCAGAAGTTTAAAAAAGCCCTGGAATGCACCTGCTGACAGCAGAAGTTGCTCATCCAACTACAGATTTCCATTAAAACAATCTCCTTAGAATCTAAACATGAATAATAGTTTTGTTGAATGTCCTACAAACGAAAGGTACAGTTAAACTATCTTTTGACACTACTCACAGTCTCTTCTTATCTATCACTCGCTTAACTCGGATGGCTCTTTGTTCAGAATACAGCTTACACACTCCTGTTTAAGACAGCAGTAAGGAAAACTTCAGGTTAGAAGACCATGATTTCTTTCTTGGAAAATACAATCAATCATTAACTGTTCAATAAATACTAAATACTTTTTAAGTAATCTTCAATGAAGTCCAAGACAACTGTTCTGTGCTCCTTTACCTGAGCAGACTGGACACCCTTGTGTGCTGAAATACAAAAGAAAGATGTAACACAATCTTTTAACTCTTTACTGAACTGCACAAAAGTTTGCGTTTTCAGTTGGTATGCAAGTTATATTTAAGAGCCTATTAGCATTTTATGTATGTTATATATTAGAATTTAGTCTAAACATAGCTATATTTTATTATAGGTTCTGTAAAACAGCAAATCATTACAACAAACCAAAAGCTGAAAACAACTAGTTTTTACAATATTATGTTACGATTTATTATATATGCCACTGAGTCATATTATGTCAATTAAATTTCTGAACAAGAATAGATGTCACCAATCTAAGCATAGCAAAACAGATCTAGAGATTTAACTTAAAATATTGAACTTCTAAAATTTTAAATTCTCCAGTGTATAAACTATGTGGAATTCTTTGTGATTTATTGTGTCAAACATCTTTGTAATTCACATATATTAATATTTCTTATTTTGATATTACGTAGTTCCCACGCATGACTGACTTTCAGTGATTCTGAATAATGCTACAACTATGTTTAGATGGCATTTCAAAGCTGATGAAAATCTTTGGTATACTGATAAAGTACACATACAGCAAGTCAACTTGCAAATGGCAAAACAGAAGTTCTCTCTACAATTTTCATAAGACAGAGTTGTAAAGGTATGATCCCATACTCAAGTTGTCAAAAACGCTGTTACTTTACCAGGACTCTGTTAAAGTTATTTAATTATCTCAAAGTTGGAAAGATTATACTTGTAATACCTTACTGGTGGACCAGCTAAAAAGAGACAACCACTGAATTCAGTGAGCCTCTGTGCCACTGTGCTAAATTACTACTCAAGAAGTAAATATCTAAGACTATCTTTTTTACACTTGAACAAATAAATAAAATTCTATCCTCTGGCTTCTCCTTCCACTAACATTAAAGAAAATTAAGTACAGTACTAATCAGCCAATGGGATTACACAGATTCCAAAAAAAAAAGGCAATGAGACTTCACCAATCTCTTTCCAAAAGCATTTCACCATCCAATATTCAGCATTATATTAGCCTTTATCAATAACTAAGAAAAAACATTTAAGAGTTGCTCAGTTTACCTTCTGTTCTCAGCTGATGAATGGCATCGGCACATGTCCTCATAAATATCTGAGCATCTTGATCTATCTGATCACGCTCTGTATCTGTCATCCTCACATACTCAGACATAATATGGCTGAGAAACAAGACAAACTGTCACTTAAGAAATTCCCAACATAAAATCTACAAGTACACATTTTAGACCTTCTTCCCACTCACCATCTCCACAGAAGCTTTTCTGCGACCGATTTTTCTGACTTTCACAGAAGTAAAAAGTACAATAACCATCACTGATGAAAATGCCACTTCTATAAAGCTGAGAGGTTTTTTTTTTTAAACATTTTTGACTAGTAAGATGTAGAAAAAGCAAAGTATGCTATCATCTTGTACATAATCAAATACTGAGCAGATAAGGAGAAAATACAACTAGAAAACGTATCATTACCCTCAGTACTTATTCCAATGAGGCATACTTTAAGTCTAAAAACACAAAAACAAATAGGATAAAGGAATAGCTCAAATGTTGGAAGAAGTGAAAAAAATTGGAACTTATTTGACTTAAATGTATGTTTTCATTATCCTAAATACTGAGCTTCATTTTTAAAGTAGCTGTACTATGAAATCTGTGAATTCAAACCATAGTAGAGAAGAATATTGGAAAATAATGCACATTTTTAATATCAAGAGATTATAAGATTTATTAAAACCTGCTCCCATTGTTTATTTCTATTTTACGTAATATATTATGTATTCAATATTTTCTAATGGGATTAACATATCTTTTTGTTACTAAATTAATAAAAATGGAGGCCTGTCAGTAAAATATTAAAACATTGTAGATAACCACCAGAAAAGCATATTGTATAAAGGTATTTAACAGTGTTTCCACAGCCATAGATGCCAGGATGATAAAACTTTGCTACAGCAGCTTATCTTATGTTCATCTTGGGTTTCCTGATGATACGGTCATCACAGCCTATTATATTTGCCTTTAAAAACAGGAAAGAAAACCTTAACTCATACCCTCATTTTAATTTAGATTTTTATTTATATGTGAAAATTTCCCCACTTGTTCAAGGTATGTATAAAGCAACTATATTAATGCAGTAATAGAAGTAAAAAGAAGGGATCTTCAGTTTGCAAAGCTAGCCTGATACCCTTAGGGATATCTTACATACATCACTGCAATAAACGCCAAGTCTTCCCCGTGTCTTGCTGCAATCTCTGCCATGGGAATGCCTACAACCAATTCACATCACCCGATCTCATCATCTCTCATCACATACAAAACCACCAGCTCCTTCCTGCATCTTCAATGTACTGTCAGCATGGATCTCCCAGATCTCCTCCACAAAGTTTTAAGCTTACTCTAATGTCCCCAAGTATTATACCAAAATGTCTTCATTCCCATCCCATGTGACTGATTGCACATGAAAAAAGCAGCATCTTTGGTTCATCTGGCTTGAAAATTAGTTTCTGCTTACTGGCCAGCTAGTACACAAGCACAGATTAGCCAGCAAACAGTAAGGCAAACTAATTAGAAGTAATATTCTGTATTTTACTTGTTTGTTTCCAACACTGTCATGTATTTGACATCTAAACACCAGGATTTTTTTCCCCTCTTGTTCAAACTATTTTAAGTGTTATAAAATTATTTTTTATAACTTACAGAAAACTTACAGAAAAGCAGCCATGTATAGTGTTTCCATTTATATTTTACCAGACGAATTGCTCTCCTTTGGTCAGGACAGATGGGTTTAATAAATTTGTGGCAAAATCCCTATCGCAAGTGTAATCGGTGGTCTTCTAAGCTGTAAGTCTAATTTGCACTGAGAAAGCAGCTTTTGCATGATGAAAGATTTGAAATAGTCTGATTTTAGAGACATCTGATGGAAAGGCTTTCCACAGACTGATTAAGATGACATATTGATAGCTACATACGCAATATAAGATAACTCATATTGTTAAATATAGTTAGGACAGATCTCTCCCCCACTCCCTTTCCACAGCTTATATAGACGGGGCTTTTTATTACTAGTCTATGGCATAAGCAAGTTCTCAGCACGTGTAAAGCCAGAAAATCCATTCTTACATCCATCTCCACACAGGCCCAGACAGAAGGGGACCATTAAGATCATCTGGTATGGGATAATGCATAACATAGTTTAGCAATCCATGCCTAGAGAGTTACTTGAGCATGTTAGGGCACACAGATTCAGATGGAAAATAAGGATGGAGTAACAGCTTCATGATGGCCCCTTGATGAAGCAAAAAAATCTTCACTCTTCTATTTCAGATTACAATAATAAGTTCTGGCTGGTCTGCTACTGAACAGAATGTAAAGTTCTTATCTTTATATGTCTAGGTTCTTGTACCCTGCTGTCCTGGTTTCGGCTGGGATAGAGTTAAATTTCTTCCTAGTGCTGTGGTTTGGATTTAGTATGAGAAGAATGTTGATAACACACTGATGTTATTAGTTGTTGCTAAGTACCCTGCTAGTCAAGGACTTTTCAGCTTCCCATGCTCTGTCAAGTGCAGAAGAGGCTGGGAGGGAACATAGCTGAGACAGCTGGCCCAGCTGGCCAAGTGACATCATGCTCAGTATATGAATGGGAGGCATGGTCCAGGAAGTAGCAATCACTACTTGGTTATCAGTCAGCGTGGGTGGTGAGCAACTGCATTGTGCATCACTCATTTTGTATATTCTATCATTATTATTATTATTATTATTATCCCTTCTTTTTCTGTTCTATTAAGCTGTCTTTATCTCAATACATGAATTTTACTGGGTTTTTTTCGATTCTCTTCCCCATCCCACTGGGGCAGGGGAGGCAGTGAGTGGCAGCTGCGTGGTGTTTGGCTGCCTGCCGTGTTAAGCCATAACACCTGCCCAGCTTTGTGGTATTCGCAGAGTTCTATGCTTTCAACGTACTTTTTAACATTACAGGGTAAAATAAAGATAACAAAATGCAAACCAGAATTTTCTTTTAAATCAGGCATAGAAATACATATAAAAAAACGTGCCTCAGGCATGCTTTATTTTTTACTCACAGTGTAACTAGTAGTCATATAGTGATACACTGAGGAAAATTGTAACAGCTCTAACATTGGGTAACAAGTTGTTCAGTTACTTTTCATAGTTGCTGATACAAAAATATGGTAGATCAAATTCTTAAATAGGAGTTTCACAGCTTCAAAGGTAGCAAAATGCAGCTTAATCCAGTAAAAAAGAAATGGAATACTTCTCCTTTTGTAACTGCTTACAGCTTACATAGTGTCTAGTACCAGCACTTTTGAACAAGAGCTGGTCAAGCTACTCGGAGGCAAGGATACCTGAAACCCAACCTCCTTGGGAAGGCAAGAACGGAGTCATACAATCACACCCCATTATGGCAAAACACATATGGCATCCACTAGTACTAACAGGGTACTGAAGTCCCCATTGCACTCCCCAGTAAACCTGAACATGGAGATTATACTGCAAATCCATCTAATCACCATCCTCTATCCTTACTGTGAAAAGAACTATTCATTTAAAAAGAACAGGCCAAAGAAAAACAAAAACACACAAAAATACCCCAACTGAACAACAAAAAAAGAAACCAACCAAAAACCAGCTGTGTCCTGTATGTCAGAGATACAAATACTTGCTCAGAAGTGCAGTGGCAGTATCATAGCAATGGGCTGATACACCACTAAATCAAGAAAGGTCAAACAAACCAGTTTTTTCAGAAGCAATCAGAAGAATTAGCCAAGACACACACTAGCTAATGCATGCAGATAAAGAAGGGAGAAAGGGGGAAAAGAAATTCTTCTAGATTTTTATCCAACAGGAGAAAGCTTCATGAGAAACTTGGGCTGGAAGGCAACTTGGGTTATTTGTGATTTTTAAGAAGGTGGGTGAAGAGTAAAATAAAGACAGTGGCCATCAAGAAGGCAGACTTCAATAGTCTAGAAAAATTAGTAGGTTAAATTGCATAGAAAAGGGGAACCTAAAAAGGAACAGAAAAGAATTCAGGTGAACTAATAGTTTTTGTATAGAAATGACGTTATAATTTGCAATTCTGCCCTTGATGAAAGGGAAGAATAGGCAATGCAGTAAGAGATCAGCTTAGCTACTTCACGAGCTCTTCATTGAGCTCAAACACAAAAAAGCAGAAAACAGAAAATGCAAATTAGGTCTGATTGCTACTGACAAGTCTAAAGGAACACAGCATGTAGGGGGACAATCAGAAAGGGTCAAGTGCAGGATGAGACACAACTGGCAAGGGATGCCAATGATAACAAGAGATTACTCTGCAAATATTACTAAGATAAACACCTAAAATAGGAAATGCATCAAATGAAAGGATGTATCCTTACTGCCAAGAACTAGGGGAGAATAAGTGAGTGCTAGGTCGATGAAAAGACGAAGTGTAGCAACTATCTTTAAAAAATAGGGTTAAGGAAAAAAAAAAAAGCAGAGGACTTACAGACCACTCAGCCTAGGAAAATACAGGAACAAATAATTAAACAATTTTTAAGTGCTTAGGAAAGAACAAAAAGATAACCAGTAGCCAAGATGTATCAAGAATAAGTCATATGCAGTGTAATTTACTTCTGGGATGCAGTAACAGGTCTTACTGATGGATGAAAAGCAATCATTGCTATATATCTTCTCTTTAGTGTGGCTTTTATTACCATCTCACATGACATTCTCATAAGCTACCAGTGAATAAATGAATTAGAAGAAACAAGCACCATATGAATGTGAAACTCTTTGAAAAGCTGAACTTGGAGTAGTTATATACCAAAACAGAAGGACACACTGAGTTGTCTTCCACAGGCGTTTGTCCTAAATCTGATGCTATTTAATACTTTTATTAACAACTCAGCAGAACGGAGTATACACTTACTAAATTTGCAGAGGCATAACACTAAGTGAATTAAAACTGTATCAAGAGAACAAGACTTCAATTCAAAACAATACTGCCAACTTGGAGAAATAACATGAAGAATTTGAATAAGGAATAGTCAGAGGCTCTTTGTTGCAGCAGGAACAATTATCTGAACCCACAGAGAATGGGGAACAACTGACTAGGGAACAGTTTTTCAGAAAGTCATCTGGGATCACATTGGATCATAAACCGAACATAA